GGAGACCAAGTTGTGTATTGAGCGAGGTATCTACAGAGCGAAATACACGATGGCTTACCTGGAGACAAGAGGTCGAAACTAGAGTCTCCAGGTAGCAAGGGATCCAGCTATATACAGGGAACGAACAATGGGCGCTAGAGAACAATAGCGTCGCCATGGGTACGGAGTACAAGGGGTGTAGGACAATAGCGGACGTGGGAACAAAGGGAGCTATTGTCCGTGTGTGGACAAAGGGAAACCGTAGCGAGTAGTGAACAATAAGGAAACGTACGAGGCAGTGGTCCGAATCGAAAAGGAAACATAGCGCCGTGAGGGCGGTTCGTGACAATTCACTCTGTGCTCCTCATCGTCAGTGACTTCGGCAAATATCTGACGTGTACTCTCGTACTCGAAAGTGCTCGGATTGGTGTGGTAGAGGAGGTTCTGAAAGAGACGGGGGGAATTTGAGTAGCCAGACCTCTACGTAGTCAGGATGCCTCACCGAGTTGATAGCTAGCCCGACAGGTTTGGTGAGTTCAGCGCTCACATGCAGCTGATAACTGAGCGTATAGGACTGGCCATGCGCACCTTCAGGGTGGCTTTGCAGCCGCACCGTAGACCCCTCATTTCCTGCACGATGGGGGCCATCTATGTCGGGTACCACGACGTCGAAAGTGTGTTGTTGCTCAATTTCAAGTGGGGCGCGATCTCTTGGTGATGCAAAGGGTATAGGCAGTGGGGATGAAGGCGGCAGGTAGGGTTCCTCGAACACAAATGGTTGGGCGTCGGAAGAGAAGGCAAGCCAATCTTCTGAGCCTTCGGACATCGGAATCAGGCTGACTTTGTTAACCTCGCACTAGATATGTCACACTGTGTATAATTTCATCACCAATGACAAGGCTAGCTTGAAATGACATAACTTACATGCACCAGACGAGCACAGGGGGCATCGGAGGGTATTCCAAGGGGCGACCTCCCCGGCGCTAATGACGCCCGATTTTGTTGACTCCTCGATCGTGCCCCGTTCGCTCTTCACGGGATGCACCTACCTGTTTTATATGGCCTCTACTTCATCTTTCACTCAGCTTGCTCCTAGCACCCGAAGATCCCGAAGGGGACGCAAGTTATCCCGCAAGAAAGCTGAAGATCGACCGCGACTAACTCAGCAAGATGTCGATAAGCTTGCCATCCAGATGCGGGAGACCTACGGTTGGGACTCGGACGTCAAGGATTTTCAATTGGCGGCCGTCAAAGCCCAAATCGAAGGCGTTGACATCATCGTCCAAGCCCCGACTGGGCCAGGGAAGACCGCACTGGCCGCGGGACCGCACCTTTGGGGCTGGAAGGAGAAGAAGTTCACCATTATGGTATGTCCCCTGCTATCGCTGGAGGAAGAAATGGTTCGTACCTTTGCGTTTGTATTCACATAGTTTACGACTGACACGCAACCTTGCAACAAAGGAACAAACTTTTGATACAGACTTTAAGCTCAAGGTGATTGCCCTAAACAGCAAAAATGGAGCCTGTTCACCTCTCACGCTCAGGGTTAGTGCATCGCTGTTCATCTCGCTTTCACGCATTATCCCATGACTTATCTCCCGGTTTACAGGAGATCCTCGCGTTCAAGTATCAAATAATCCTTGTCTCGCCTGAAATGCTCCAGTCCCGCACGTTCACCGACCGCATTCTGCGCAACAGCCACTTTATGTCTTACATCCTTTCCATGTTCATTGACGAAGCCCATTGTATAGTACACTGGGGTGCTGATTTTCGGAAGAAATATGGCACGTTAGGGAAGATACGAGCCTTTCTTCCTCTCGGAACCCCTGTCATAGCAGTCACTGCTACACTTACTGCCCGTGTACGACGGGCGATCCACACGTCGCTCCATTTTGGGCAGTCAAACGCCCCAAGTCGGTTTATTAACAAGGGAAATGATCGACCGAATGTCTCCATTATTGTACGCGCATGTGAGCATCCCCTCAACACCTTTGCCGACCTCAATTTTGTCATCCCTTCCACCCTTCGCACCCCATCTGATATCCCAAAAACCTACATATACGTCGACAACATCGCCCATGGTGCCGAAATCATTGACAGGCTAAATGCACGCCTCGAGTCCCACCCCGACGTCGCCTCTGCCCCAGGAGGAAGCGGGCGCTTCCGAGGCATTGTACGCCCTTTCAACGCGACTATGTCCGCTCCCTACCGCACGCTTGCTATGGCTCATTTTCGGCATGGTCACATACTGATAAACTCGGGGCTGTGAAGACAAGGATTAGATCCGACTAGAGTCGAAGCAAGATCTTCAGTCAGTAAGGAAAGACTATATTGCAGTAACCAACTGTACCTAGAGTCGAAGCAAGACTACAAAGGTTAAGTAAGTAACTACAGGTTAGAGATAGATGTAACGAAGTACTCACTCTTCAGTCAGTAAGGAAAGACTGAAGAGGGAGGACGCAATCTGAAGTCCTTATATACTACAGAGAAGTGTCCATGACTAATCGAAGAGTGGTTAGTCACATGTACCATAGTGCGATGAATAATACGATGGTGAAAGAATTGCGACGTATCGCACCATAGGATGAGTAAGAGATGAGTAAGGCATAGACCTGTCTAGACCGTTCTGGAGTAGTACGGATTGTCCTAGACAGTACCAGAAGAGTCCGGAAGCATAGCTATAGTACACGAGCAGACAGTCCCAAATATGG